CATCGCCGATCTAAGCAAAATATGGACATTTATCAAAGCGAAGTATGGATTTCTGCCTAGAAGTCTATATCAATGGGAATGAGATAAAACAAAACTTTCTTCGTTCCCATGAATTTCCTGGTACCAATGGTTTTACCAGATCGGAGAAGATTAATCGGCGATTGAAAATGTTAATTTCATTTCAGAGCATTCCATTAGTACAAAGGCTAAAAAAGACTCCTTGCAACTCAAGGTTCATTATTGTTAAAGTAGAAGTTTCATTACTTGAGGCGTTCTCTATGACTTTCTATAACTCAGAGCTTCTTAATTGTATTTGTCTCAAAAAGGATCTTCCTACATTCCACTAATCGAAGTTAACATATTAATTTAGAAGAGCTCCTTCATTGTTAAAATTTTCTATTACAACTACTTTGAGACACATTACCACTTTTTGTGTGTTAATTGTTGTGAAGAAAAAAGTGAAAATGGATATGAAGTGAAAAATTTGATAAAAATTGACTTAAAAACGTTCCAGCGTAATATTTTCTATGAAAATCTCCCATTTTTCTAAATTCAACAAACTAAATATGGTAAAACAAGAGCCATTTTATCGCCCAAAGCTGCTAAAACTCTCTAAAACAACGTAAATTTGCTGACGAAACGTTTACTTTTCCAATTAAAATCGTATCAAATGTTGCAATAATCTGTACACATTCCCGTACAACTTGGTGAATGCAATTGCTATTCTGCCGTCTAAATTCCAAAGCTGTTCATAATGAGAAATTGTTTAATTTTAGTAAATCGGTTTAGAAAAGCGAGTAAAACAAAACCAAACAAAAATGGAATTTAGTCATAATATCGGACCTCACAAGAGGTACTATGGGGTGGATAAGATGCGATTATTGCCAATAGAAAACCAGTCGAAAAGCATCCAATCTATGTAAATAGACGATGTATGTAAAAAGGCATACCGAAATAGAAAAGTTATGAAATATTTTGACAAAAGGTATTTCATGCTTAAACGGTATTTTTCATGTGATTCAATTTTAATTGAGAAGACTTAATTTGAAGGCCATGGATAGTACTGGCAATTGAAGGCAAATGGGATGAAAGAAGAAACAAAAAAAAATCCGAAGAATATCCGGCCGATAATCTGCCGAGAGAGGGACAGGAAGAACAGAATAGCGAGCAGATGCGCATATGTTGAGTGTGTATTTGGACGTTGAGTGGAAATTGCGTACACCTTCACACGAGCCATTCTTTATCCTGATTAAATATTTACCATCCGTAAATGATTTTACACACTTTATATCTCTTGCTCGCTCTCTCGCTTCTCTTCGTCGATTGAATGCTGTTCTATGTGTGTTTGTGTGGCGGCGCACAATGATTTGGAAAATCAATTCGAAGCAAACACAGCACACAATGTGGCTTTGAATATGGATCGGGCAATCGAATGCGGGGATGAATGCGCGCGATTTTATTAGTTTATACTATATAATACGAAAATTGATAATGTAGAGGCGAAAAATTGATGAAGATTCTTCAAATACATCGGACATGTGTGAAAAATACTATGAAGATGGTGTGATGGTCTTTGATGCTCACTTTGTTGTACAATTCGAATAGCAAATACACCTACGCTGCACAGCAAAAAAACACTGAACTTTTTTTCTGTATCGTCGAACTTTTCTTCCATTACGATAGCAGGCACCCCAAAAAGCGCTCACGAATATGAGAAACAAATAAAAAGCGATACAGAGATGTGCAAAAGTTTTAAGCATTTTCAGATTTAGCCCCCATTGAGAAAACGGTGTAAATATGTAGGCGACGGTGTATCTATATATTGTTTGGTCCGGTCGATCTCTTTATATATATAAAAAAATATCGTATGTGTACACATGTACGGGAGAGATGAAAAAAAAAAGACATGCACGAAAAGTGCTTGATTCTCTCTTTCTCTTCGCTACATCTCGACGAGGCAAAAAGAAAATTTATTGGGTAGAAAAGGAGTGGCTTGTATTAGTATTGAAAATAGAAGGCGATACCGACACCAAATGCTTGTAACGCCAGAGGTGTCGTTTTTAGACACCAACTGCATACGACACTCACACACACGCCGATGATACACACATCGACACACAGGTTCACGCATTGCTCGTTTGCTACTTGTAGAAAGAGATTTTCGGACGACAAAAATATCGAATTTGCACATATACACGCAGCGAAACAGTGCGATTGTGTATAAGCGACGGCAGCTGAGCAGTCGGAAACCAATACAAAGAAAATTGAGCAAAGAGAACACGAAGTAGCAGCAGCAGCAGCACAGAAATACACAAAAAAGGGCAAACGAGTAGCGTTAACATTGTCGCCCAAGAGGGACAGGGAGAGATACGGACAACGAAGACAAACAATTTCGATGAGCTCATATTCGCATTTACTCACCAGCTACAACCGTTTCCATACCTAAGCAGTTGAAGTTTATATTCGGGTGTTTGCGTTTGTATTGACACCCGTGTGGCTTCGGTTAAATCGCTTAGCTCACACGAATATATATATATATAAACACATACGAGGCACCCAACAAATGGAGCTCTTCAATCTTTCTCACTCTCGTTCCCTCTCTATCTCGCTCGCTTCCGTTCATTTCGTTGTAAAATGTTGTTATGTGTATGCGTTTATTTGTACCTATATGTGATAGAGTGTGTGGCGACAAATCGACACCAAATCTGACTGCGATGCAAGTATGTGTAAACACACGAAAATCACACTCAAAGGCGTTTTCGTCACCGCCATACATAAACACCCGTACACACACATGTGCACACGGCGTTTGGCGAATTTTTCAAGCCACTGAAAATTCCGTGTTTTTTTTAAATACGGAAGATTTTCCCCCCCGTTACTGTGCGAAAAAATGCATGTAGGAAAATCATTATCACTACGAGCTGTTGGAGCATAATCGACTTAAAAGTTCCGTCCGTGAAGTGTGCAACTCGCCTTTTTTGCAGCACCACAAGCTCCTTCTGCACCGGCAAGAGAGAGAAAGAGAGAGTGTTAAGAGCAGATATAGTGTTGAAGAGCTGACGAAACTCACACAAAAACTTGGCGAGGATGTGGTACACAGAGCCATATAGTTTTATATTCTAACGATTGGCAGCTGCTACCGCGCTGCACTCACCACTCTCACTATTTGTGCAAACGCTTTTAATGTCTGGCTATAAAAGCAGCGATGTGTGTGGTGTTTTAAGTCTGGTCTATGGCATTTTAAACGATATACAGAAAGAGAGAGAGAGAGAGAAAGAGAGAGAAACTGTGAGTCAGGGTGTCATATTCCCTCGTGCACACTATACAATTTGCACAAAACTATAAATAGCGCGCGCGAAAATAAACCATTTGTGCAAACAAAAAAAGATCATGGCATACAACAGAAAAGAAAAAAAACTCATCCGTTTTTGCTGGCAGAAAGTAATAAAAAGAACGAACGCGCCCAATAATAATAATATAACCCAATCAGCAGAGAACGAGAGAGAAAGGGAGAGAGTGAATGAGTGAGTCCAATCCTCGCACCTTATTCGCTTCGCCATCATCAATATTGCATCAATTGCAGATACAATGAAGATCAGAAACAGAAAAAAACGCACATATTTTTTGTGCAAATATAAAAATCAACACAATGCACACAGACACGCATCGAGTGAAAAAAAAAACGTTGCCAATTTTTCGTAGCAAAAGAAGGATGGCAGTAGCGTTAAATGTGAGACGAAGAAAAACATGACAATGTAAAAAAAAAACGATAGAGAATTTAAAATAAAATTGCGATAGAAAATAGAATAAAACGAGAGAGAGAAATGAAGTTTGCTTTTTGCTACTCATTCCATTCGATTTGCTGCAAAAATGAGCATTTTTTTCACTTCTTCTATGGAGAGATGAGCAATCAGGCGACAATATAGTGCAGAAAACTATTTTGTGAAGAGCAAAAAGCTAGAGCGCAAACGAACAAATGACAGGGATAAGAAGGAAGCGAGAGAGAGCAAGAGTGTGTGTGCGTTAAAAAAAAGGCAAAAAGGAACGTACTGGGTGCGATGCAAAACCGACAAAATCATCACGTTAGCTGAGTTCATATTCTGTGTGATGCGCGCATCTCTGTATCTCGCGTACGTAGTTCAATAATGATGCATATGGTATGAGTTACTTCACACACAATCCATTGCCACACCAAACACGTCTATCTCGCACATACACACAGCACCAACATTGTTAAAAAGCCGTTCCTATACGCGCTTCTCAACGATGTTCTCGATTGTTGTTGTTGTTGTTTTTTTTTTGTATTCTTCCTCGCATTCAATCTCTTCCCATATCTTTTCACACCGTATACATATGTGTGTTATGTATTTATAGCGCTGATTATATAAAGCAAACTGGAGACAGAGAGAGAACAAGACAAAAAATGTAATAGAAGCAGCGACAGCAGCCACTTCGAGTACCGTGTCTGTGCTAGCGTCGTCGTCGACACTCACAATCATACCGGATCAAAATGGTATGTGTTGGTAGCGCGCGCGCTTACTCGCTCGCACACAAATCCGAACAATGAATTTGCTTGCATGTGTTTGTGTGTTTGATGGATCACTTAACAATTACGACGCTTGCACGCCTGTTTCTCTCTCTATCTCCCTTTTTCTCTTTTTCATATCGTTTGATTGTGTGCGTGTGATTGTATTTAGTGTGCATAAGCCGTTGCTGCTGCCACTTTTTTTTATTCTTTCTGTGTGTTTTGTTCGTGTCTTTCTATTCATTCTTTTGGTCGCTTTTTACTCTTCATCATTCTCCTTACTCTTTGCGCTGTGTGCAAATGCTATGTATTTGTTCCACACACACCGTGTGTTGTATTCTCTTTTCGCCCGTCACACTTTTGTTTGTTGTGTATATTGTGTCATCGGTCGTCGTTGTCGTCGTTTAACACTCATACGGTTTTGGCTTTTCTTCATCGTGTATTTACAACACCAAAACAGTCTGTATGCGACCGGCGTGAAGTTAACGTAAAACATTTTTTGGTGTGTGGCGTGTTTTAATATTTATTTATTTTTTTGTTGTTGTTGTGTATTAAAAACGGTATACATATTGAACACAGCTCGGCGTTTTTTTCAATTCACATCACACGCTTTACAAAACCAATTCGATGTGTGTTTTTTTTCTTCGTTCTGGCTTTGAATCACATTCAGTCGACGAGAAGAACAACAACGACCACGAACTGTAAAAAAACACTCATAAGATTTTCCGAAGCTTTCTTATTAGACTTCGACATTAATATTCGATAAATTTTTGTGGAAAAGAATTTTTCAAAGCCACGGCCACGATTTTATATATACCACACAATTATCGATGGACCGTTTTAATGGATTTTTTACGGTGATTTTTCGGGAATAAATTGTGCAAAAAAAAAATTTTGGGACCGAATTCGGTGCAATTATGCAGTTACCAATTGATAACATTTCAGTGAAAAATTGAAACCAAGTGAGCATTTTTTGTGCCCTTTTTCGGTGAATTTAAACGAAAGATTTTATTGACGAGAGAAAGAGTGGAAATAAGGAAAGAATATTTTTTTACATCAAAGTTTGTGCAATTTTTTTTTGGAAACAATTATCCGGTGGCAAGTCCAATCATTGAGAAGTTTAGAAGAAATATATTGATGAAAAATAATTGAAGAAATGACCGATTGAAAGTTGACAGTTAAAAACGACGAGCATTTTATGATTAAATTTCAATTGAAAACAACAAAAATTGAAGAAAATTTGTAAAAAACGTCGTTCAACGAAAAAAATTGTGAAAAAAAAATTGACAAAAAGCATCTCGCAAAATAGAACGAAAGATTATCAGTTGAGTGAGTGTAGATTTTTGAACATAGTGATCGAAAAACAAGCGAGAAATTTCAATAAACGCAAAATTTAACTGACGATTTACAGAAAGTGAGAAAAAGAGTAAACATTTTGTTGCGCGAACACTGAATTAGTTGTTGACTGTTGATGTACGCATGTTGTAATGAGATACGATATTCAAGAATTACAAACGGACGACATTAAGTCTGCAAAAGGAATGTCAATGCATCCATTCCTGCAGCTACCCAGACCAACTGATTTCAGTGTGTCATCACTTTTGACGGCTGGCAATGGAGCTCCTGGTTCCGTCAACTCATCCAACACAGGTACAGCGATCTCTCTCTCTGTCTCTCGGTAACGAGAGAAAAGTGAGAGCCAAAAAAATATGTGAAAATATCCGAGAGTGAAATAATTTTGCCTTTATCGAATGCTTTCGTCATTGAACTTTTCAATAACACGGACACCATAAAATCAACAAACAAAAATAAACAAAAAAAGGAACGAATTAATTTCAGATCAATGCAGTGAATTGATTGAATTATTTCGATCTTGAATAAAAAAATATTACACTTCCAATCAAAGGCGGCACTGCCAAAATGTCACTTGCTGAAAACGTGAACTAATGGACTTTGAACGAAGCATTTGTTGTTTTTCTTTCGAATTCCTCGGTTTCGAATTTCATGCATTTGAAATTTTAGCACCCAATAAAAGTTCAATAGACGAAAACACTTAAAACAACACAACATTCGATTAATCCAAAATTATTTTTTCCGTGTATTTTCATGTGTTTTTTTTTTTTATTTCGGGTGAATGCAGCTTCAAATTCGGCGTGTAGTCCACAACAAAATCCAAATCCAGCATTGAATCATCCGCATCAACCATATTTTCAAGCGGCCGCTTTGGCCGCTTTGGCCAGTTCACCGACCGGACATCATCCGCATTTGTATCCCGGTGCATTGTTACCAAAATTGCCTCCACATCCACATCATCCACATTTACAACTTGGCACACCATACACAACTGCCGAAGATGTTGTTCTTGCATCCGTTGCTGCCCATCAATTGCATCCAATGCGACCATTACGAGCGCTACAACCCGAAGACGATGGCGTTGTTGACGATCCAAAAGTCACACTCGAAGGCAAAGAACTCTGGGAAAAATTCCACAAACTCGGCACAGAAATGGTGATCACGAAAAGTGGCAGGTTAGTGTTGACACATTTTTATTTGATGGTTTTTTTTTTAAAGTGCAAAACTTCGGTGTGAAAATAAACAAATAACAAAGTGTTACAAAGTGATCATTGGCGACAGACATGAAAAAAAAAAAAACATATTTTCAACTTCTCCGGAATTAAACGCAATTATTCGACGAAATGGAAAAAAATTAATGAACATCTCTCGTAAATCGAATTCGAGAACAATTCGACAGAAAAATGATAAAAATATTTATTTGATCTCATTAATGACTTCAATTCGATACAGAAAGGTTTAGTACGATTTATGGAAATTAACTTTAAATCCTGACTATTTATATTCAATTTTTTTCGCATTTGATGGCATTTATTCTTGAACCTATTTAATTGTGCGCCGTACAAAAATCAGTTAATAAAAATAAAATTTCGCAATATCTCAAAATGAGCCACGAAAAGACGTAGAAATATCCGAAAATCCTTCAAATCAACAGCCACAAAAAATCAGCCAATATCTGTTCCAGTGTTTTCTATCGGCAATAATATTTCCAAGAAAAAACAATTCATTCAAAAATACATCGTATCTCGCCGTATAAATTTACATCAACTGTTCGCGTGTGCAATGGAAAAAAAAATTTACCGACGGCATTTTGCGCACGATTACATAGAAACGCCCCAATGTGTGTACATAGTCAGACCTGGTGCGAGTAGCAATATTTTTGGTGTGTGTGACAAGAAGTAGTGTGTGCCTAAACAAAAAAATTGCAAATTGATTCGCATGAAAATTGAAAAAAAAAGAAGCAAAATGTATCTCACGTGAGAGTCGAGTGCATTCGAAAGCGCAACAAATCGGCGACGGAATCTACATTTTGATGAAAATTACATTAATTCCGCCTGAACAAAACTGTAATTCACAATCAATTCGGTTAATTTTGTCATTTCGATTGAATTTGTTGCACGACAATTTTTTCGTCGTTAAAATGAACGAACATGCAAAAAAAAAAAACAACACAAACATACCGAAATTCGTTTAGTTTCTCTAATCGCATTGAACATTGTAATCTGATTGCATCGAATTAAATGGTTTGTGATAGCGAATGATTGAGCGAAATTTCGTGTTCAATAAACACGATTGTTAAATTGATTTTACGAATGAAAAAACCAACCAACGTCACACGAATGCACACAGTTCAAACCAACCAATTTATATATAAAGTCGTCTCTCAATGCTATGACATGAAAAATAAACAAGCACGAGCAATGCCAATCAATTATCATTGTCGTTTGCTCACTGAAAATAATCTAAAATACGAACCTTACACAGAGTGGCATAGAAGAATAAAAAAAGTGTCGCGTTTGATGTTAAAAACAAATTGAAATGAGTCTATTTGTGGCTCTTCCTCCTGCAAAGAATCCGACACAAAATCAAAGTGCCACGCAAACTGCACCGAAAAAAATGTATGACAATCCAATTATAAATGGATTTTGCGATGGTTTTTTCCCTGCAAATATGACTAGCTTCAGCCAATTTTTGTGACAAAATCAAAAAATTAAATTTCCCTCCGTGGTTTCTTGACTATCAAGGATAATATGCACGTGTACATCAAGAAAAAGTTTTTCATTTAAATCGATTTGGTGTTCAGTGAAAATCGCGACATGAGTGGCCGCCTCTTTCGGATCCATTTTTGGTTGGTTAATCGGTCTAATAAATTGCTGGCTCCATTCAACTCACACTCCGTGCACAAAGCCCAAACGGTGTCGCGTATTTCGAAAATTTATTAGAGGCATTCACATAGAAGCCGAACCGTTTGCAGTCGCACCGTTGCAGCTATATGCCACCAATCTTTGTGTTGTTGATTAATAAAGTAATTCCGTGTATATGTTGTTCGCATTTAATCACTTAATTTCAAAATTGAATGGTGAATTGCGAGTCGCGAAGCAATCGATCGCATCATGTTTTTATACGACCATCGAACGCAAAACTCGATATTGCCATAAATTTCGATGTGTTCGTCACCCGGTTCGATGGGACAAGAAATGGTGTGACACAGCGCCAAACATGAAACAACGAAAAAAAAACACAGCCAACCGGGAAAACTGTCGCCAACCCGAACCGAATGATTTATGCTCAATAATAATTTTCATAATACATAAATTTCTTACATGATGCACTCACTCAGTCTCGGAACTCTTTTCTCTGCAGTCCGTTTTTAGCCAGCACTCACATATAATATTCAATGTTTTAATTTATTTATTATATTGAACACACTTCTGCATGTCTGTCGCTCTCTTTTTTTAAGAGCAACTCAACACTCAATATACAGTACACACACATAATTACTACAATCGACTTGGACGATACATATTGAACACATTACTGTCTTGGCGGCGGTGGTGGTGTTTTCATAGAAACGATTATCAGCTCCATTTTTATCACTTTGTTCCGTTCGTCATTTTTATTTCAAACCGATAATAAAAACAATGCCCAAGCGAACAAAAAGCACACACACGCAATATAAAAAGAGAAAGAGATAAAAGAACTTGACATTTTTGCCATTTGTCATTTAAGAAATTTACTACTTTTGCCATTTTGTGCGATGGTGAAGAAGATCGCTTGAGGAAAGAAAAAACTGTTTCCGAGACGAGTTTTCTTTTTATGAAAAAAAAAAAAAAAAAAAAAAATCTCAAAATATTCCACGTCGTTGCGTTCAATGGGAAAAAATTGCGTTTTATAACCGTGAATAGACATCCGTTTTTTTATTATTTTAAAATTGTATCAAAAAATCGATGGGAAAAAGTGAATGTTTTGATTCGAAGGATGTTTTGGTCTGATGGCGAAAAAAACCGTCATCAAATGTCAACTTAATGATTTCTTGAGAAATTCTCATCGCACATAACATTTCGACTCTCGACATCAATCACTCTAGCGACGACTGAATTAAATTTTTCATTGAATTTTTATTTGTGTTTGTGACGCAATTTTTGTTGATCGAATCAAATCGAGTGTATTTGGTTCTGAAATACGTAGGTGTTGAAAAATGAGCATATAAAAACATTTTCATTCACCGAAGTGGATTTAGTCGGGCATTTTCATGAAGAAACTTTTCGTGTTTACATATAAAAATTTGTTGGTTTTCACATGAGTTCGAGTCGGTGTGTGTGTGCAAATCATCAATTGGCAAAAGTCGGTAGCTGCGCTGAATTAAATTACACGATTCAATTTAATCGGCGAGCACGAAGTGTGCAATGATAGAGACAGAGAACGAAAATTGGGTGTTTGCGTGTGTAAAAATGAATGGGCGAGTGTTAGAATTTATTTTGTTTAATAAACGGTCCATGGTTGTGCGAGTTGGGCTGCTTTTTTTCATTCGCTCACATGATTACGATGCGATTAAGTGAACATTCATCAGTTCATGATGTGAATTTTAGTGCAGCGAGAGAAAAAAAAATGTTGCTGCTGGTTTTGCAAAACGGGTGTTTGTTTGAGTCTCGTAAATGCGTGAAACAGCCGTTTTTTTTCTTTCAAGCGCACACATCGCCTTAATTGTTTTAACAAAGCTGAATTAATTCGACTTTATTCACTTTTGATTCAAGAATCAGTCAGACGCAAACGATGCAACAGAGAAGTGACAGCATGTTGAATGAGGAAAAGAGCGAGAAATAGTGACGGGAGATAAAACAAACGCGCATTATTTATATTCAACAGCAACGTTGTTATAACAATTGCAGCCGCTGTGTCGATTGCACTGATTAATTATATAATTTCGATTAATTAGAATTAATCAAAGTTGCAATGCATGTGTTTTAATTAGAACAAGTACGCCACCACAATTGTCAGTCTTTTGCCGAGATTGTTCGCCGGAAAAATAAAGAATAATAGGGCCGATTAAGTGCCAGCAGATTTTTGTCACTCATTTGAGTGCTTGCTCCTTTTCGATGTCTCTTACTCGTTCACTACATTTTGTGGACTTTGCTCTTTTCACCTCTTCTCTTTCTCTCACTCTATCTCTTTTTCTAGGCCTAGTTCCCTCTCGCCTTCTCTTTGACCCTCATTCCCTCGCTGCCTCTTTCTGTCACTTGCTCGTTTTCGTCTTCTCTCCCGATCCCTCTCATCATCCCATTCGGAATTTTAAATCAAAATTAATTGCGGTCATAAAGAAGAAAAAAAATTGAAGAATTCAAAACAAATGTGCACGACGAACATCCACCATTCGTCACTTTGCGTGCAAATCGCTGCACTCAATCTGTACAACGAAAATAAAAAAAAAAATATTGTGACAAACATGTGTTTATGTAAATGCTTCGGATGAGATTTATACGGTGGCTGTTGCTGCCGTCGCACAAATGATTTATAACTCTGACTATCAAAAACATTAAAAAATTCATCGAATGTAATTTGTATTTCGATTTCTCCGACTCGATTTCGCACAATTTATATGTTTCATATCAAAATGCAATGTCGTTCGTTATACGAATGGGTGCCGTTCGAAAAACCATCGAATTGTTTCCAAATAATGATCGGGTTCAATCAATCGATTTAATAATAGTTGTTGGTTTTTTTTTTCAACATTGACAACGACAAAATAACACACAATGTTTGCATTTTTAGAAAGTTTGCCCCGCACATTTCGCTTCCGCCGTTAGTTTTTTTCTCTTCTTCTTCAGCTTGTTGTTGTTGTCATGTGTCACATTTGATGCAATCAATTATTTATGTAACACGATTTCAATCCAAAACGGACAAATGATGACTTAAAAATATGCAATCATTGAAGGAACGTTTTTTTTTTGTCGAAATATTTGAAGAAATATTAGAATGCTTTTTTTTTAAGCTTGATTTTTTCTACCAGAAATTGTTTTGAAGTAAAGTTTTGACCATAATTCGGTTGAAAAGTTCAGTTCCTCTTCGGGTCAAACGAAAAATGAAACGTTTGATGTCTTCGAATACGCCCATCGTCACAAAACGATTGATGGAACACACGCAAATTTGAAGACAAAACCCGCCTGTAATAAAATAG